ATGATGTGTTTTGGTGTGGTCCTCTTTGGATTCCTCTTTTTTTGGGTTCTGTGCGCTTCCTGTACTTGTAAGTTTATTTCTTTCACCAGGAGGGGGAATTTTTCTGTCATTATTTCTTCAAGTAGGTTTTCAGTATCTTGCTCTCTCTCTTCTTCTGGCAACGAGATTCCATTGTGTTAATAACCAGAAGATTACAGGTACCAAAAAGCAGTCTTTAGGGCAGATAGGCCACTTGAAAGGTAGATCACAATGAACAATTATCAGCCTTAACCCTTCTCTTGATTGTTTTGGCTCCTTTCCCTGAGGGCCTTTCTTAGGTGGTAGATAATAAACTTAAAATAGGATTGTATGTTTATATCTCCCCACCCAAAACTGTTACTGGCACAGCAGGAAACAGAGCCCTGAGGGAATAGGGTAATACAACCATGATTGGGAGAGGGAGGATGGACAAGTTCCTGGATAGTCGACCCTACAACAGCTGGGGGAGTAAGGTGGCTCATTAGAGCTTCCAGGTGCCAACAAGGGTCATGTTGGCAGAGCAGAGGCAAAGGCAGAGGAGAAAGAAGAACAGAAAGGAAAAATACACACAGGAAAGATACTACGGTATGTTTCTGTATTTGAATAAAATGTATGCCAAGATTACATGGGCTCTTTAAATTCTTTTGTTTTAGCTAGGGTTACTCAGAATAAATGAACTATTCAGAGAGTTCAAATGTACAATAGGTAATTTTTGCAATAGTGAGCATTATACAAGGGTATCTACCCCTTTTTATCCAGTGGTACTGCTGTTTCTTGAAGACCAGTGTAGTCCTACCTAGTTTGGCTTAGTGGATAGAGCATTGGCCTGCAGACTGAAGGGTCCGAGGTTCAATTCCAGTCAAGGCCATATGCCTGCATTGCGAGCTCGGTCCCCAGCAGGAGGCAGCCAATCAATGCTTCTCTCTCATCCTTGATGTTTCTCCCTCCCTTCTTCTCTCCTTCCCTCTTTCCCTCCCTCCCTTCCTCTCTGAAATCAATAATTTAAAAAAAAAACTAAAAAAAAACAATGCATATTATTCCAGTTGGAAGAACTATTAGAATATGTAAAATCCAGTTGTTGGAAAGACTTCCCCCTCCTGTTTCATGCTACAATCTGCGGCTCTTATGCCCACACCTGAAGTGCCTCACCTTGCTCTACTTTTTCCTTTTTCAGTAGTACCTCTCACCTTCCAATATACCCCATGAACTACTTATCTATTTTATTTATTGTTTACTGTCTCCATCTCCTTGCTGCAGTGTACCATAAGGGCAAAGTTCTTTGCTTTGTTCGTTGAAGTATTCCCAGCATCTAGAATAGTGTTTGATGTGTAGCAGGTACCCACACCAATACTGAATAAGAAAAGTAGAAAAACAAACTACAAAGAAATGGATATAAAATGATCCTGTTTTTGTTTTGAAAAATATCTACATAATAATACATGTACTATAGAAAAAAATTATAGACAGATACACATCTTAGATAATAATTACTCCCAGAGGGATAGGGTTACAGGAGATTTTCTGTCATATGTTTCCTTTTTTTTTTTTTAATATTACTTTTGAAGTAGAAGATAATGCTATAACAAAAACAGGATTAAAGAATTTGGTTAGACCTAAAAGAAGGACCTTTGTTTGTTTATTTTGTGGGAATATAGGTTATGGTGAAAGAAAGTTACATTGTTACAAGAGCCTTTTTAAAAAGTTGGATGTTCTGATAATTTGAGCTGTTTTTTTTTTGTTTTTTGTTTTTTTAATTTAGACAAAACTCACCTCATTTGTGACTGATAGGGTTTCACAGAGAGGTCATCTAAATTTTTTTCTTAGCCATCTGGAGGCCCTTTTTAGGTGGTGGATAATAAACTTAAAATAGGATTGTACTTTACTCTTGTATCTCCCCACCCAGCACTGTTACTGACACATGGCAGACATACATAGGTGAGCAAGTGAGTGATACCTCTGGAGGGTATAGGATGGTAGGATTGCCTGTGAACTGGGTGGAAGGCAAGGAGAAGTATCAGGGAGCTGAAGGGCCTACTTACTCAGAGCTCAGCTCCTCACATATCCTGCAAAGAACTGGTCAGCTTATTGAACTGCAGCTCATAACAGGCAGAACATGAGTGCTGTTCATCACAGGAGCTATGGGATGCATTGTTTTACAGGGAGTGTCTCCCTAAGGCAAATACTCATAGAACAGGTGCAGAATTACAGCTTATACTCATTCTGCTGCTTGTTGAATAGAGGCAAAGGTGGTGTCATGAGATCCTGTGTGCAGTATAGAGTGTCAGTTATACAGCATTTTATTTTATACTAGTAGCCTGGTGCACGAAATTAGTGCATGGGGTGGGAGGGTGTCCCTCAGCCCAGCCTGCACCCTCTCCAATCTGGGACCTCTCAAAGGATGTCCTACTGCCAGTTTACAGGGAGCAGGCCTAAACCGGCAGTTGGACATCCCTCTCACAATCCAGGACTGCTAGCTCCTAACCACTCACCTTCCTGCCTGCCGGATTGCCCCTAACTGCTCGCCCCCAACTGCCCCCTGCCAGTCTGCTCACCCCCAACTGCCTGCTCACCCCCTACTAGCCTGCTTGCCCCCACCTCCCTCCCCACTGGCCTGCTTGCCCCCAACTGCCCCCTTGCTGGCCTGCTCACTCCAAACTGCCCCTCCGCCCAGCTATCCTAATCACCTCCAACTGATCCCCACTGACATCCTGCTTGCCCCCAACTAGCCCTCTTGCTGGTCTGCTTACCCTCAACAGCCCCGGCCCCCACCAGCCTGATCACCCACAACTGCCCTCCCCTCTTGGCCTCTAACCGCTTCTGCCTTGGCCCTGCCACCATGGTTTTATCCAGAAGAACGTCCAGAAGGTTTCCCTGTCTAATTAGCTTATTACCCTTTTATTAGTATAGATCACATGTGTCAAACACAAGGCCCGCGGGCCAAATCCGTCCCGCCAGGCCTTGCAATGTGGCCCGCACCGCGCTGTCATCACTGCACTCCGCTGCGATTCCATCACAATGACAGTTTATGACTGTTCAGTAAACCATTCGGCCCGCGATTTAGGCTGGATTTTAGATTTTGGCCCCTTCTCTGATTGAGTTCGACACCCCTAGTATAGATAAAAGGCTGTTGGGGGCTGACTGGTTTGCCCTGAAGGGTATCCTGGATCAGGGTGGGGGTTCCTTGGGATGTGGGGCAGCCTGGGTGAAGGGCTGATGACTGTTTGAAGGCTAGCCAAACCTCCAGCAGGGTCCCTCAACCCAGGGGAGTATGGCTAGCCTGGGTGTAAAGCTGAGGGCTGTTTTCAGACTGGCCATGCCTCCTGGTGATCCAATCTTCCAGTCCCTCCTTTTTGTCTTTTCAGGGCCTCCTTGAATCTTTCCAAAAATTGGGACTTTTTAAAAACGCCGGGGGACGCGGGACAAATTGTTAAAAATCGGGACTGTCCCACCAAAAGCGGGACATCTGGTCACTTTATCTATAATTGAAACTTTGTAGCCTTGAGTGGAGGCCAGGGCTGGCTAGAGTGGGTGGGAAGCGTGGCTTCCTCCATTGTCAGGAGCAACCCAAGCCTCCTGCTCACTCCAGCTTCGTGGCAATCTTTGTTGGGTTAATTTGCATACTTGCTCCTGATTGGCTGGTGGGTGTGGCTGATGGATGTAGTGGAGGTACGGTCAATTTGCATGTTTTTCTTTTATTAGTGTAGATTTGCTAATCTATTTATTTTTAGATTTCTCATCTTTAAAAAATTTTATGGCCATTTTTCCAAGCTACTTATAAGAACATTGACATTAAAGAAAAAATATTCCTTTCAGGAAAAAAGTTTGATGGTTATGCTTTAAAAAAAAAAACTTTTTCTAAGCATATACTGCCTATTTATTTATCTTTGGTAATCTTCACCCACGGATATTTTTTCCATTGATTTTTAGAGATAGGAGGAGGGAGGGACAGAGAGAATGAAAGTGATAAATTGAGAGAGACAGAGACATTGGATGCCTCCTGCATGCACACCATCAGGTGCAGGGGATTGAACCTGTAACCCAAGTGCATGCCCTTGACCAGGAATCGAACCCACAACCCTTAGGTGCATGGGCTGATACTCTACCCATTGAGCCACACCAGCCAGGGCATACACTACCTATTTTAAATGAATCAGTTAAGATAAAAAATTGCCAAGTCATGCCGAAACCGGTTTGGCTCAGCGGTAGAGCGTCGGTCTGTGGACTGAAAGGTCCCAGGTTCAATTCCTGTCAAGGGCATGTGCGTTGGTTGCAGGCACATGCCCGGTAGGGGGTATGCAAGAGGCAGCTGGTCGATGTTTCTCTCTCATCGACGTTTCTAGCTCTCTATCTCTCTCCCTTCCTCTCTGAAAAAAAAAAATATATATATATTTTTTTAAAAGATAATGTTTCTAAAAAAAAAAAAAATTGCCAAGTCATGTATCCTTACCCCAAAATGATATATTTGAAAGGGGATGTCTTATTTTTCATTTTCATGTTTCTGAAGTGTCATTTTACTTAAGTATTAAAATCTAAGCCTCTGCTGAGCACCCATCATGTGCTAGTCGTGTGGGGAGGTTTTCCACAGGCACAGGCGAGTGGGGAGCGGAGGCCTTTTCTTCCCGGGGGCCTGGGAGGCTTCACATTAGAGGGAAAATTGGCTCCTCAGTTCACTTGCCCCTCATTTTCAGGCGGATACTTATGAAATGATTGCACTCCCATGAAAGATAGCTTCTCCATAATTCAAGATTGTCCTGGATCCCTCTCATCAGAGAGGATGAACAGCCATATGAATTATTTACAGAGCATCAAGTTATTTCCTTTCATGAGCTCCGACTTTGTTTTTGACTCTGCAAACTGAGATTTTGTTTATCCATGAATAGTTTTCCCTGGGGCATGAAAAATATGACTCTTTAATTATGAATGAGATTTTTTGTTTGAGTCCATGTTAACTAAAACATGCAAAATAAACTGTTTTTCATTAGATCCCTTTCAGGTCCCCACAAAGACAGAACCAACAAAAGAACCAGCAGTTCAACCAGCACCCACCAGAAAGCCCACTGTGATTCGAATTCCAGCCAAACCAGGAAAATGTAAGCGCTTCTCTGCCGCCTTTATTTGCTCTCCAAGATCCTGGGGACAATCATGCTCTTTTATCAGTGCTTGCTTTGAAACTAAATGTGATCAGCCATTTATGATCATTGTAATCTAGGACATTTAAAAGCAAGTTGGGGTGTTTTGGTTTTTTTTTTTACAATTCTTGAGACAATTAGTTCAGTAAATTTGAATTATATTTCCCTTTAACAATGTCTTTAAGTAGAGAGAAAAGAGGGAGACTGAAACTTAGAATACTATTATAATATCCTATCCTGGTGCCTCTGGTAAAGATATGGTATGAAAAGAATTGAAACCAATAGCAAATGAAGTTCAATATGACTCTCATAGAGAGCCTATTATCTCATTATATATAGGAAGCATATTATTCCATCAGCACCCTTATAAATTGGACCAATAGTCCTGAAATCCTGAAACAGGTATATTGAGGAAGCACCTTTATTTATTATTCTGACAAAGCTCCAGAAATTATGTATGAGCCAGTTGCCATGGAATTATTTCTCAAGAATTTTATCATTACAATGATGAAGCAATGCATATATACCATGGAGGAAGATAAATAAGACTTTTGGTGTCTGAAGAACTTGAAAAGGACAAGTGAACGAAGGAAGAACGTGCAAAACCCATGGCTCTTCTTGAACCTGTCACCTCCTTCCCCTGCATACCTGCATGGCTCCCCTCTTTACCATCCTTCAGGTCTCCGCTCAAATGCCACTTTCCTCTTTGAGACTCACATTATTGGAAATTGGAAATCTCCATCTCCCCATGTATGCCCTCCGGATAATTCCTATGTTCCTTCCTATCAGTCAGCTGTCTCCTCTCTACTTGCATATTGTTACTATTATACTTTGTACCTGTAATTGTTTGTCACAGCAATATCATATCCTAAATGATTCATTACTTCCTTGTTAAGAATAAGGAAACTGCAGCACAGAGAAAGACTTCCAGATGGTGACTGAGTTGGAATGTTCCTGTGCCTTAATTCCCAGAGCAGGGCTGTCTCTAATTATCTCTAAATCATTGTTTGTCTAGCAGTTGGCCTGGATGTTTTCCTCCTTTTGAGTGTTTTCCTGTCTCTGGACACAAAAGGAACCTGACAGATCATCCTCTTGATACCTATTTTCCCTGCAAAATGGCAGCAGAGTGTTTTCTGAAAGAACGGGAAAACCTCCCACCCCTTTAAATGCCTTTGCCACGCGTAAAAGATGGTTTTAGCCTCCTTTGTGTGTTGCAATCATCCCCTCTCCAAGTGTTTTTGCACACAGATTTTTCTAATTAAATTTAATTATTTCTAATTAAATCTGGTCATCTTTATTTTCTTCTTTTTAAAATAAGTTGGGGGTCCACGATGACTGAGGTAAGGATGAAGTTTGGCTATAAGGATATTGTTTGTTAAACTGAAGGGGCAGTTATGCCCATTAATCTGGAGCTAATGGATTACAAAACACATTTAAAGATTTGGATGGGGGAAGGTTGACTACCTCACCTGTTAAGAAACAGCATGCCTATTACAAGGAGCATAGCCTTTTGAGTTCAAAACCCTGGTTCTGACAATTTCTAGCATTAAAACCTTGGGTGACTTAAATATTTTCTTCCCAGATTTTTCATCTGAAAAACAGGTAGGATATTATTTAATGTAGTGCTGTCCATAGATCTTTCTTCAGAGATGGAAATATTCCAGATCTGTGCTGTACAATATGGTAGCCACTAACCATATGCAGCTACTGAGTACTTGAAATGTGGCTAGTGCAACTGAGGAACTGAAATTTTAATTTTATTTAATTATAAAATTTACGTTTAAATCACCACATACTAGTATAACTACTAGCTAGCTAGTGGAGTGCATGGATCTAGCACATAGATAGATGTTGGTTGGAGAAATGTATATGAATAAATGCCTTAACTTAATGCACATGTTGTAGGTTAAAGACCAAAGGATGTGCTAATTTTAATATGTGCAGGTTGCCCTGGCCAATTTGACTCAGTGGATAGAGCATAGGCCTGTGGGCTCAAGGGTCCCGGGTTCGATTCTGGACAAGGGCATGTACCTTGGTTGCGGGCACATCCCCAGTGGGGGGTGTGCAGGAGGCAGCTGATTAATGTTTCTCTCTCATCAATGTTTCTAGCTCTCTCTCTCTCTCCTTCTCCCTCTCCCTTTCTCTCTGGTAAAGAACCAATGAAATATATATATATATTTTAAATGTGCAAATTATTTTACTGGTCAGATTAAAAAACATAGAAAGTTCTCAAGAATGTTGGCTACTGTCATAATTATTTAGCATTATTTTTACTCTCTATAAAATATTTTGTAACTAATGTCTATTAGCTCATCAATTTACTGAAGTTTGCTGGGAGTTCTTTCTCACTTGCTTGGCTAGCTATCCATCTTTGTGTGGATCTTTTAGCCATTTTCCTAAGGAACCAAGCTGCAGTCATTTCATTCTTTTGAATCCCCAAAGACCAAAAATTACTGATGAATTACTGCTATTTTTCCAGGTTTACATGAGGATGCCCAAAGCCCGCCTCCTCTCCCTATTGAAAAGCCTATTGGATACACTTACAGTATGGTATCTGGAAAACACAGTAATGTTGACAGAACTAGAGACTTGGTAAGTGGTCATTATAGAGTGTTGTAGGTTGCAGACCAACTGATGGGCTAATTTTAAATGTGTGCAAATTAGTTTACTGGCCAGATTAAAAAAATATCTTATTACAAATCGGGTTCTAAGGCCCATGTACTTATTTTAATGTGATGCTTTATATTTTACAAACCCCTATAGAACAAAAGAATTAGGCCAATTCATAGTACTTCATCATAAAATAATTTGTCCTATACCCTAGGGCATGAAAAATATGACTCTTTAATTATAAATGGCCTCCTTTCTTTCATTGTCTAGTCATACCCCCCCCTTTTTTTTTTTATCTTTATGGTTGGAAGTATTACATAGGTCCTCCTTTTTCCCCCATTAACCTCTTCCAGCCCACTTATGTCCCCCCACTCCTACCCTCTCCACCCCATTGTCTGTCCATGGGTTATGTTTATATGTATACAAGTTCATTGGCTGATCTCTTCCCATCCACCTCCTCTGCCTTCCCTTTGAGGTTCAACAGTCTGTTCATGCTTCTATGACTCTGGGTTTATTTTTTGATCAGCATATCTTTTAAATAGCCTTAATAATGAGGAAGTTATGAGAAATCTCTAAAAAACTGTACTATTTGTGGAATTAGATTTATTTCAATGATCAGTTTTTTTAAAAATACCAATTAGTGACATAATTTTAAGATAATTATCATAAAAATTTGGTACTCTGAAAGTTAGGGGAAAACTATTTTTAAATTTTAAAAAATAGTTCTTTACCATATGCTTCTTAACAAATTATGGGCGAAGAGTTTTAAACATTTTTTTCCTTCAACCTTAATATAATTTCCTTATACTTTTTGAAATTCCCATATGATAGATAATCTAAGATTTGTTTCAAAAGAAACCAATTTTTAAAGTCTGTGAAACATATTTTCAGTTCAAATTTTGTAATAGTTTTGCATTGTATATTAACTATGCTTATTTTACAAACTATCCAATCATTTAGTTGAAGAGAAATATCTTGGAAGAAGACATTACATTGAATTAGCCAAGATCAAGTTAATGAGATTTTCCTGTAGGATGAAGTGAAATTTAGTGATCACTTGCATTTTAATAAATGTTTATTAAAACTGGACCAAAAAATTCCAAAAGAGGATGATAGAGCCCCGACCATACTATTGTTGAATAGGAAAGTCCCAAATTTCCCCAAAGGAGAAGGTTACAGCATCTTCTCTAAAGGATTATAAAAGAGAGTGAGAGAATGATGAGTAGGCATACATATTATTCATTCAAGTTATGGGCTATGTAAACCATAAAGCTGTATTAAAGCATGAAGTATTTTATTTGGTGTTAAGCAGTCCACAAAGCAACTGCTGCACTTTAAAAAAAACAAGAAAAGGAAGTTGAATAAACTACACCATCTGGAGAAGTACTATGTTCACCTTTTTTTGTACCTCACATTACCAACATGAGGAAAATCCTGTCCTGCACTGTTTATAAGGTAGTGGGGGGTGAGGGTGTGTGTGTCAAAGCATTCTGTGCTGAACCAGAATAAATACATCTCATAACAGACACACTGGAAGAAGAGATGAGAAACAGACCACAACTTAAATGATTTGGCTGAAGTCACAAAAATAGATTTCTAGGGTCAGAAAGTCAAATCTATGAGAAATTCCTTTTGTTTATGAGTTACAATTACTGAATTATTTTAGATCAGCGGCCACAAAGACTTAAGATGTGGGTGAGGATCTGTGGAAAAAGTTTCTCCAGCATGAGACCCATGGGGACAGGTTTGGTCTTTGCCACTTTGTCTTCGGAGACAGCACAGCATAAAACCCTCTCCTGTTTTCCTGCCTTCGGTGCTGAGGAACTTTCCATCTCAGGACAATGGCTATCGTTGCCAAATCTCACTTTCTTCACTAAAACAGTGAAGGCTCCACAGTGAGGAGCATCAGGATCCACTGGAGCCGTTCTGTCAGCAGAGGCACATGTTCTGTGTGCCCTGTTGCCCATATCATGGGAACCCAAGACTCCCAAAGCCTTCCCCAAGGAGGCTGCCAGCTGGGGCGGGAGGGAGTCACAGGTACAGCACAGAATGTGGGTCACGAATTTGGGACAAAGAGGGTACCAGTTCCTGGAAAAAGACGAGAAGGAGCATCTGCAAACAAAAAAGATGGCATCTATAGAATCAGTACAGCAGAAAAACCAACTTCCCCAGGAACTAAAATGCCTATCCACGCACATCACATCAAAAGCCAGAATGCAGGGAGGTCAGAGCAGCTCCAGTGAGGTGTGGAATATTATTGAAGAGGAGGGAAGCCCTAATCAGCAATCTCCCAAAGACTGTTGGTAGAACCTCTGCATAAACCTGAATTTAAGCAAATACTAAGGCGGTGGCTTCTGCAGGAACAGTTTCCCTCTACTCAGTGTGTCACATACAGGAGCGCCTTTCAGAAGGTGCCTAATGGTCTTCGGGGATTTGAGGATACTGCCTTTTTCTCTGGTTTAGAGTTTGCTTGTTGTAGAAAATTGAGAAAAAGATATTTAAGATATAAAATGCACCATCTGGAGAAAACTACATCTATTATAGTATTTGGTAGATTAGGATTATCTGGTATGTATTTATTATAGTACATCTTCTATAACTTTCTATGTCAAATTTATACATTTATATTTTTAAAAGTTTCTTTTAATTAAGTTGTCTAATAATTATAATGTTGAGAAAAAACAACTGAAGTTCCTTCCTATCTGCTGGAGTGTTTTTCTGCTTTTTTGTTTTAATTTTTAAAGTGGCTAAAGAAATAAATTAATTTTTTGACTATCATAGCAGTATTTGTCAGGGGAAAATATCAGCAGCAGCATATTTATAAGGCATGGATTATAGTCTGGAATATTGCAGGGTTTATGAGCTGGTGACTCTCTTCACTACATTAACTGAACTCATTAGTGAAACCAAGTTTTAAGGGCAAGCTTAATTTGTTTTTAAACATGGGGTTTTAAAACATTGAAACATATTTCAATGATCGTAGTTATTGGCAATTAATCATTTGGTACTTAAGGAAAAGTTATAAATATTCAGTCTGAATTAAAATCCATTGAAGTGAGTTTTAACTCATTTATATAAGAGAAGGAGTGAAACACTCTTAGTTCAACGGTCTCTTAGTTCAAGGTATAGTTAAACCTCCTTTAAAAAAAAAAAAGGCAGTGTAATATTAAAGGGTTGGCATTTCCCTCCTTATAAGGTCCTGGAGAAATATTATTTCCTGGAAGACAGTGTGTTAGATGCTTAGAAAGTAGAAAAGGTTAAAAAAGAGATTAAATTAGAATTAGAAGAATTTGGTGAGGACTTTTCCCTTCAAAAACAAGTTTTAATTTCTCATTCAGCAGAAGAAAAGAAAATATTTTCCATGTATTATACTCATTTCCAATCCTTGGGCTACACCATCTCCATAAAAGTTATTTAAATAACCCAGTTTGAAGCCCTTTCCCTAGCGAAATCTTTCTATAGAGCTCCACACTTCCAATTTCTCTCATTCCAAGCTGTCTTTTGTTTTTTACATTACCCCCTATTCCCTCCCTACCTCCCTCTCTCCTCCTCCTCCTCCTCCTCTCTCCCCTCTCTCTCTCTCTCTCTCTCTCTCTCTCTCTCTCTCTCTCTCTCTCTCTCTCTCTCTCTCTCTCTCTCTCTCAACATATCCTTGACTAAGGATTAATTTTTTTTTAACTCTCTTCTCGGCGCATCCACTCCTTTGTTCTGTGGTCACAGCTTTCTGAACTTAAGAGCCACCAGCATTCCAGGATCCTTGTCCACACCTCTCTGCTAGTGAAGACAATAGGCAGTTTCCCCTATGTGTTACACTTAGGAGCAGTACATGTCTTACATGTCATCATGGAATAAATAAAGGCCATTGTTTTTGTTTTTCATTTTCCACAGTTTCTGCTTAAATTTCTACTGTGTAACCCATCATGATTGAAGCATCATCCTTGATACTTTTGAATCTGCTGGGTGTTCAACAATGCAAGGAAATTGGTTGGGTCGTGATCCACAATAGCAGATCGCCGGGTCTAATCCCTCCTCTATGTCTTCACTTGTATTAGGATGTGGACAATTTAGGTGGGAATGTGGGATGAGTTAATATTGCTTAAGACTAAAAATTTTATCTACTTTCTCTCTCACTTGCTTTACTCTCTCTAACTCAGCTACATTTCAACTTATAGATCCAGCCAAAAAGTTGTCCACAACTCCTCTTGACAAGGTCTTGTTTCAGATAAACCTTAACTAAAAAACATTCCCTTATACTTGCAGGAATCCGACCAGGCTGGGCAAATGGGAGGCACTGTTCGAGGACCCCCCAGGCTTCCACCAAGGTCAGTGTGAGAAAGCTTTTAAAAAGTAAGAGAGCAGCTAATGCCTCAGAGACTGGACTTTCCTTTCTGTCATCAAAACTGAGTGCTGTCGTCCTTAGACATTCTTTACAGATACATTAACTCACGAATTCACCCAGGCCATTAGCCTATAGTCTGCTCTGACAGCAGGTTGTAGGAATGAATCTCTGCTTCTTCTTTGAACTCAATCCCCAAAACTCACAGAACACAAACAGATCTCTATTACTTTTCCTCCAACAACAAGAATCCTTTTTGAACCTGGAACAACTCCACTCCTGGAATGGACACACGCTCGCACACCTATACATTCACACTCTCATTCTCACACTGTCACCCACTCCCCGTTCCGAGGAATCAGCGCAGTTTTGACATTTCCAAAGGGAGACGAGCTTTGTGAGCTCAGTGGTGACCTGCCAGCCTGAGTCCCAGGGCTGTTGGAACAAAAAGCTGAGATACTATCAGAAGATGTTCCTATGTTAGAAATTATTTTTATAATAGGGATTAAGTAAAGGTTTTCAAAGTAATGGTTGTCCTAGCTCATTTTCAAAACAACTTTCTTTATATTAATCTAACCTAGAGTTAGAATAGTAATTCCTATAGCATGAATAAATATTAGGGTAGTTTGATGTTCCTTTTCTAATCATGAACTAGACCACATCACATATACCTGACATCTTGTTATAAGCTTTTCATCTCAGACTTTGGAAGAATGTGCTTAGTTTCCTGAAACAGTCAAGGTATGTTTATGAGCAAATGGGGCATTAGAGAGCTCATGATAGTAAATGCTTGTTTGTCTTAAACTAATGAATCTCTACTGCAGGATGAGAGGAAGCTGGAACATCATGACATTTCCTCTAGTAATATAATGTTTAATGCAGCAGCCATTTACTCAGAAATAGCATACCCTGCGAGTTTAGGTAATTGTATTGTGCTAGCAGAAAGCTGTGCGCGCGTGTGTGTGTGTGTGTGTGTGTGTGTGTGTGTGTGTGTGTGTGTTAGGACAAAACAAACACTATTCACGGTTCCCGCCTTGCCTTTCAGACCTGTAAATGGAAGAGTCACACCAGCTCGACAGCCTCCTCCCAGGGGGGCCCCTGAGAGACCACCTCCCCCGAGACTTTCTACAACCAGAACATCAAATAAAAAACTACCTTTTATTCGGTCTTCTTCTGATATGGATCTTCAGAAAAAACAGAATAACGTGGCTTCCAGACTCACAAAAACCAAGAGTCAAATTTTTAAAAGTCAAGATCCGGTGCTACCTCCTCGCCCTAAACCAGGACACCCTCTCTACAGGAAATACATGGTAAATTTAGCTTTTAAAATGTTTGTGGCCAAGAGGTTTGTCCTAAAGTAATAATTATTCCTTAGAGGAAGATGATGAGACAGATATGGACTTGATCCTTGACCTTAAGAGTTCTTTAGATAAGTAGTCCATAATAAAACTTAGGTCTTTAAAGCCGGTTTTTATTGGGAGAAATATAGGAATAGGAGACAGTGCAGATAGGAATTGACCAAACAGCAACTCTAGAAAATCTGACCAGTAGGTTATATTGAAGGGTTTTTATAAAATCTGACAGATTTTATAGTTTATATCCTTTGCCCACCGAGTAAAATTTAAAATAAAATAGAAAAAAAGGTCTTATTAAGGTGAATGGTTTTTTTCCCCCCCTAATTTTCCTCTTTCATAAACCTAAGTATCATGGGCCATTTTATTGTTACCAATTAGAAGCTTTCATTAATAATTGGAATAGTTGAGGTAATAGTTCTTTTATGAATATTTTTCTCATCATATGATCTTAAACCTTTGTCTTCATTTTCTATACTTAAAAACAGAGTTGATGTGCTCTCATCACTTTGGTTTGGTTAACCTAATAAAATCTAAGACAGCCAAAACTGGTTTGGCTCAATGGATAGAGCGTCGGCTTGGGGACTGAAGGGTCCCAGGTTCGATTCCGGTCAAGGGCATGTACCTTGGTTGCAGCATATCCCCAGTAGGGGGTGTGCAAGAGGCAGCTGATCGATGATTCTCTCTCATCGATGTTTCTAACTCTCTATCTCTCTCCCTTCCTATCTGTACAAAATCAATAAAATATATTAAAAAAAATAATAATAAAATAAAATCTAAGACAAATAGAAATAGGGAGCTGTGGGGGTAAAGGGAGGAGGAATGGGAGGTATCTGTAATACTATCAATAATAAAAAAATGTTTTTAAAAAATAGGGAGCTCTGACCAGTGTGGCTTAGTTGGTTGTGCATCCTCCCATATACCAAAAGGTCACCTGTCTAGTAGGGGTTGTACAGGAGGCAGCTGATTGATGTTTTCCTCACCTTTCCTCTCTCTCTGAAATCAATAAAAATATGTTTTAAAAAATAGATCAGTACTATATATATATATATATATATATATATATATATATATAATTAATGATAGATTTTTAAAGAGACAGGAAAAAACACACATTGATTTGCTGTTCCACGTAATTATGCATTCATTGGTTGTTTCTTGTATGTGCTCTGACCAGAGATCAAGCTTGGCTTATCGGGATAATGCTCAACCAATTCAGCTACTCGGCCGGGGCCTGTTTGTATTTTTTAAACAATCGCATGACAGTAGCTTTTATCAAGAACAGCAGCTAATAATTTTATATTGTGCTGCATTTCCATCATTGAGCCAGAAATTATTTTCACTTTAAGCCCTTTAGGGTTTAATAAAATTTTCCTTGAATAGATAAGAAGAACGTAGTATATTCATATACCTGTATATTCATCTTCATTTAAACTGGTGACATTTTTAACTGCTAAAACCCAGAAGTATTATTTGGGTTAGGTTATTTTTAAATAATAAATAAATAAAAATAATGCCTGATGTATTGTGCACTTATTATGGACCAGGTATTATTCAAAACATATTATGTATGTTAAATAACTCATTTATTCCTCACAACAACCCTGTGAGATAGATATATCCCTATTATACAGGTGAATAAAATAGTACGAAGAGCCATTAAGTAACTGCAGGGGTAAAGGGGGGGAGACATGGGACATATCTGTAATATTATCAACAATAAAAAATATATTTAATTTTATTTATTACTAAAGGCCCAGTGCACCAGTGGAGATTGAGCTGAAACCGGCTCTCCAACATCCCCCCAGGGTCCCCAATTGCGAGAGGACAATTCTCGGGTGCCACACTCCAGGCTCCCTCCTCTCTGGTTCTGGATGTGTCACCTGAGAACTGTAGCTGCGAAGTCACTGCAGCTCAGCACTCCTGCATTGAGCTTCTGCCCCCTAGTGTCATTGTGCATGATAGCTATCAGTTGGATGGTTGGACAGTCGGACAGTCACTTAGGCTTTTATATATATAGATTATTTTTTATTGATTTCTGAGAGGAAGGAAGAGGCAGAGAGAAAAACATCAATGCTAAGAGAAAATTATTGATTGGCTGCCTCCTGCACACCCCCCACTGCAGATTGAGCCTGCAAGTTGGGTATGTTTCCTAACTGGAATTGAACCCAGGACCCTTCAGTCCACAGGCCAACACTAATCCACTGAGCCAATCCAGCTAGGGCTAAAAAAAAAAATTTTTTTTAAATAGGGAGCAAAGCTAGTTAATGGCAGAACCAGCTTTTGAGCACAGATCAACTGACTCTGAGCCCATGCTCTTAACCATTAAGCCTGCCATACTATGGAAGTAGTACTTAAGGTTCTTAGCATAGCCATGTAATGTCTATAAAAGCATTCAAAGAATCAAATTAATAAATTGAAAATAATGGTATATTAGAGGAGTATGTTTCATTATGAAATAATTTATTAAATTCCTCATTTTTTCCAAGACTACCCTGCCGTTAAGTTGCTAACCAGGAACCTGGGTACATTGGGAGCCCTGGGACTCTGACATAAATGCTAGGAAGCATCAGTACCTAAACCCTCACACTCTGCATCTTTGCTCCTGAGTGATGGAGAGGTCCAAGCAGTCTCTTTCCTTGTTGAAAGTGAGCTTGGGTGATCACATTCCCTGGGAATGCCTTTATATTGTAAAGGCCTCTGACCTGTACTCATCAGCCAAAACTGACCATGTCAGGGAACAGAGCCCCCTGGCCAGGGTTGGGTACAGATATAGAAGCCATTCTAAAATCAGACAGAGCTGAGTGAACCAGGAAGTGACTGGAGTCAGGCAATGAATTGGGTTTAAGTAGACGCTTTGTAGCAGAGATGCCTTGTAAGATGAGACAAATGAAGGCGTCATTAGCCTGTAGAGGAGCTCCCTGTCCCCGCCAGCCTTCAGAAGACAACAGCCACTGAGAACCCTTACTCAAAGGCAGGTCTTAGAGGCTGCGAGCTCCTGTGCTGAGTATTTATCCCTCCAAGCACTAGGTGACTTGTTGGACCTTGTCTTATGGAATAGAACTTCCTGGTTCTAGTTGTTAAGGAGAACTTTAGGCCACATTCAGCTATGGGCTCACCTCTACACTCCCAAGGACTCAGTCTCCATGAGAAATGGCAGGCCCTACTAGACCTGGAGCACGAGGGAGTCGGGGGAAGATTTTCCTGGAGAAGTTGTGCTTTACACCTTCCAAATCCCCAAATGACCAGCAATTTATGATGAGGGTTGTTTTTTTTTTTATTGTGAGTAATCCTCTTATTGGGTTATATTTAAGCTGTCCCTGCCTCATGGGATTGCTAATGAAGACATTGTCTTGCAAAACCCCGGAGAACTCTCTTGTAAGGTAAAATACAGCTCTTTCTTTATTGACAAATATAAAAAAATCACCTCTGTTATTACTTCTTTACACATTATTAAATGCTTTAGGCTTCAAAGATTAAAATGTGGGAAGAGTAATAATGTTTTATTAAATAATAATTGCTTCGGAGAGTGGTATTGTACCTTACAGCATGGGGACGTCCTTGTGCTGCTGAAGCAGGCAGAAAATAATTACTTGGAATGCCAAAAGGGAGAAGGCACTGGTAGAGTGCACTGTCTCAGATGAAGATTATCACCCCACTTGATGAACATCTTCGAAGCAGACCAAACGGAAAGGAATTAATATTGTACAGCCCTCATATCACCCATGGCAGCACATTTCAAAGAACTATTAATTATATCTCATCCTCAGGTTTTATTAGCATTTTCTTAACCAGAGTGAAAATTACAGTAGCATTTTATTCCATTTGAAGAATAAATTACTTCTAAGAGACTTGCCACTGCCTTACTAATCACCTGGCTACCCGGTGACTACCGCGTGTTTTGCCTTTTTCATATTGTGCTAACTTATAGCAACCAGAGCCCTCACTCATTAATTTTCAACTGTGAGAGTCATTTATTTTTAAATAACGTAAAGATGTGTACTAAGTGCCAGAGATTAGTTTCCTAGCAGAATGGATGATTATTTTAAAGGGGCCCCTATAAATGCTTAGTCTGCCATAAAAAAGCACTTCCCTTGTAAGATTTAAGCTTAGTGTAAACCTCATTTCTTTTATTACAACTCATAAAATAATGAAATGAAATGTAGTCCAACAACCTGAAATTACAATTTAAGCCTAACAAATTTGTGGATCCTGGGAGAATACAGTGATCATCGAAGTTCATTTGTTTAGCAAGAAAAATGCCACTGAACTGTGTTTAGAGGTATACTTTAAAAAGAGCTTCTTAAGTTACTCAGTTAAATTTTAACTGTTATTTAATGTAGCAAACATGAAAAATAATATCCACCAATCATTTAACCCAAGTAAAGTATTTGGTTTCCCATTCATCCTAGTTTTCATAATCTAGTCCAATTCTTTCTTCTTAGAAGGCAGTTTATGTTTTGAAGTTTGCTGAGAAACTAAAAATTTGTATATTGGAGAGCAGAGAAGACACATGTTAAGCTAGCTGCAGCTGAGATACAGAAAATTCTAAGTTTAATTCATATAGAGAAAGTTCTATCACTTTCTCTTTGTTTTGATCGAGCATTATCCCTCTGTCACAGCCTTCCTTCCTCTCTGAAAACACACTGAGGGGTAACCATGGGAGTTGGGCTGACAAGAAGCTTTTCTTTGTGAAAAATATAAGCTACATATGTAATGCTTTCGACAATAAAGAATTAAGTTTATTGAAAGTAAGGGAGGGAGGGAGGGGCAGGCTTAAAAAATGAGAATTTATTCTAACAGTCCAAATTTTTTTTCCACATTAAGCATGATCTCACTCATCTTGTACTGTAGGCTTGCAGAGTTGGCCTATGTGATGCTCAAATGAAACCTCATTCAGGTTTCTGGGTTCATGACTAGCATTACATTTTCTAGAAAATAAATCTTACCTTTTTGAAAGCCTAATTTTAAGGTAAAGATCTCAGAAAATGTGCTATATTTTCCCCTATCTTAGTAAACAGAAAATATCTAATGCTGTTAATTGAGGTTAAATCTGAAGATCATGGGAAAATATTTCTAAGAGAGACTGTTTATCTTGTTGCAGACACATATTATATGTTCCATTTATATAAAAGTCCAGAATAGGTAAATCCAGAAAGTAGGTTAGTGGTTGCCTAGGGCTGAGGGGTTGGGGGGAGTGGCTGTAAATGGAGAGTGGCTGCTAATGGGTAGGTTTCTTTTGTTGGGGGGTGATTAAAAAAGTTTTAAACTTCAATTGTGCTGTTGGTTGCACAATTCTGTGAATATAGTAAAACTATGTACACTTTAAATGGGTGAATTTTATATGTGAATTATATCTTGAAAATGGTTTTTAAAATTAAATAAGCTAAAAAAATTAAATGAGCTAATAAAGGCATATAAGGTGTTTAAGTAGCACAGTGAGTGAAGAAGGCTTTTATTATTCATTTGCATTAGCAGAGTCATATTAAAAAGAGCTTTAAGTTATATTAGATTTACCTAATGGTGTGGTCTGAGTTGTACTGACCCCTAGTGGCCAACCTTATTTAGCCTTTTCATCTTGTCCTTCACCTACCAGACCAGATTGATGAGCAGCATTCCTAGTGTTTATCCATGCACTGAAGTCGGAGAGGGAAGCTAATAGGGAGGCGCAAGACATGTTCTCTTCTCTTCTGTTCTCCCAAGCCTGAGTATGTTTAGGTTGTTGGTTCATTTGGAGATTCATGTTTGTGTTTTGTGTGGGGTAGGCTTCTGATATCATTTATTTCTCAAATGGATAGCCATCTAGCCTAACACAATTTATTTACTTATTTTTTACTTTATATAATTGTTTATTTTTCAGTTAGAGTTGACATACAATATTATATTACTTTCAACCCAGTAATTATTTAACTTAGTGATCATTATGACCAATAATCTCATACCCATCTGACAGCATACATAGTTATTAGAATATTTTTTACTATATTCCTTATGCTATACATTACATCCCCATGACTATTTTGTAACTATCAATTTGTACTTTTTTTTCTAAATGTTTATTTTATTTTTTTTTAGACAGGAAGGGAGACATCAATTTATTGTTCCAATTATTTATGCATTTGTTGGTGATTTTTTTTCTTTTTTTTCTTTTTTATCCTCGCCTGAGAATGTTGCAGAAGACCAAAGAAATATGAAGCACACTTCCTAGAGAAAGGGAGGGACCCCATTTATTAACACTAGTGGACTCGGAATAATTTCCAAGTCAGAGTGAAGAAACACCCAGAGGCTTCACTTTTTATAACCTACTGAGGTCTTTGTCTTGCAGACATGGTTCCACCCCCTTTCATGGGCTTACAGGAAAGCCCCCAGGTGTTGGGGGTCCCCAGGCCATATACTATTATCTGTCCTGGGGCCAGTGATAACGACGTTATTCACAGTTTTTATGGCCTGACACACCCTGCAAGACCAGTTTCCTCAAGAATGTGTTTTTATTGATTTTTAGAGAGGAAAGGGGGGGGGGGGGGAGAGAGAGAGAGAGAGAAACATCAATTGGTTGCCTCCCACAAACCCATAACCTAGATATATGGCCTGATCAGTAATCAAACATACAACTTTCCAAAACACAGGATGACACTCAACCAACTGAGCCACCAAGCCAGGACTCATTGGTTGATTCTAATATGTGCCCTGGCACTGGAACCCTGGGCTCAGGGGCCTGGTGTGGGACTAGCACCCCACTCCTCAGGGAGGACCTCAATAGTGGCAATATCCCTCCTAATTTTTATCTGCTACATGTGGGTGTAAGTTCAGCCCCTTCCACATCTAGACCCCTCCGGTAGGGGTAATCGCAGTGTGGTAGATTGGTAATCTCAGTGTGGTGGCTTCCTTGTATTATTAGTTATACGATTTCTGTTCAGCTAGATTTCTGGTTCTGAATGTTGATTGCTCCAAAGTTTAGTTGTATTTTGATGTGGTTGTGGGAGGATGCAATTACCGCATATACCTACACCGCTATTTTGACCGGATGTTAGTCTAATACAATTAATTGAGTAGTCATTCCTTTTTTCCACAGACATAAAGGGGGAATGAAAAACATACATATGCACATAGAATAAATTATGTAGATAATTTCTTTTATTTTTTAAATTTTTTAAATTGATTTTTAGAATGAAAGGAAGGGAAATGGGTAGAGAAAAACATCGATGCAAGAGCAAAGCATGGATTGGCTGCTTCCCACACGTCCCCACAGGTTATTGAGCCCAAAACCTGGGCACATATCCTGACCAGGAATCATACCAACCACCTTCTAGTGCACGGGATGATGCCTGACCAACTGAGCCACACTGGCCAGGGCATAAATAGTTACTTTTTTAAAGCCCCTCCAGACTTAAAATAAGTCACAGTTTTTTTCTGTAATCCCTGAAATTCCCATGATGCTCATTTATTTAAAGGAAAGTGCTGAGTGGCCCCTAAGAAAATGTCGGTGTTACTTTGGTAAACTCATATAATAAACTGCTATTAGCCATTACTGTCTTGACCTAAATTGGTAAGTTTACCTACCTTGAGAGAATGCAGCATGCCTCCACAGGTGCATTTTGGCTGAAAGAGCAGGTGAGATGTAGAGAAGATCTGAGCAGAGGTGCTTCATGGTGGAAATGGAGAAAGTGGATCATTATCCACAGTGCAGTCTGGATCAACTGGGCACATTATGGCCAAGAAGGGGCAGAGAAATGGAAGCGTGAGGATACTCCAGAGGGGGACAAGAGTTGGGTTGAAGAGACAAAAAAGACATAAAAAAAAAAAAAAGTGCCTACATTTATTTCACAGGTTTGCCAGTGTTGAAGAGTTTTAAAATTGTAACTCCAAATAATATCCTTTAATCAAATTTGATGATGATGATGATAATGATGATGATGATAGGGATTATGCCTGTTAGTTTATATAATGAAACTAAGAACAACAACTGCTTGTTAATAAGAAAAGGTCACTCTTCAACTTTGTCCTCTTCTCTAGCTAATCTATGGCAGTTGGCTAGATGGTTAGAGAATATTGAATTCTCTTTGCTAACTTACTTGGAATTATATTGAATAAACCACTCAGATTAAATAGAAAATCTAGGCCAAGCATAGGAAGTAGTGTTGGCTTCTAAATTAGAGAAAGCATTCAGTTAAGTGGCACTAAATGAAATAGATTTTACTTTTGTGAATTATACTTTTTTGGAAGTCATTAGCTCTTTTCATTAAAGGTAAGCATATCAATTGCAGAACTTCCTTCTTTTCCCATCTTAATGAAGATAAAACTTTTAAGGCTCTGTTCTTAAGATTTAGTCCTTTTCACAGTTTTAGGGAAAAGCTACTCCAGATAGGTAAAGAGATAAAAAACCACTACTTTAGGTTAGAATGGTTTCTAGTGGGAAAAAAAAAAAAAAATTGTAAAAGTTCAGTTAATTACATTTTGTTTTAACTCTCATTGTTAAAAAATGCTGGAGGATATTATAATTGAGTGTTATTTTCTGTTCTCCCTGGGCAAGAACACATGCTTCTCTTTGGCTCAACTGTATGATTTGCATCTTGTACTCATATGTCAAGAGGACTCTAGTGAAGGGGGGGGGGGGGGGGGTTGGTCTCAGAATGAATGTAAATCCAGCTTCCATCCTGAATACTTCACTCACAGCCCTGTTTTCCCCCAAAGGATCCAAGCCACACTCAGAAGCCTGTTGACAGTAGTGCTCCTCATGCTGTCGTTCTTCATGATTTTCCAGCAGGTGAGGACATAAATAATAAAGTGGTAGAGCCCTTATAATCCAGGAGCATCCTCCTTGGGTTAATCTCTTGAGGGCCAGCCTTCTTCATTCTCTGCACAACAGAATCCTAGACTGGAGAGGCCATCTTGTCAATCACCCATCTTTAGGAATATTCAGTTGTACCCAACCATTCCAGAAACTCTAGCTGCATGCCCTTGCTTTTGAAACTTCCCATGAGAGGGAAAGAGAGGGTGAACAAACCACAAAATACCTACCAGTTGCAAACTTTTCTTAACTTTCAAAATAGTGGATATCATTTAATAATTATAGTGAAGTTATTTCAAATTTAATAAATGAAGTTCTTTTCTCTAAGAATTGTAAAACCTACACACATAGCTAGCTATTACTATGAGATGAAAATATAATTTTAAATCAACTTTTAAATATCTTTTATATCCAAGACTACAGATGAATTTCTGATTTATTTATAAGTTTATATTATCTACTTGATAGATTTTTATTTTAGTGTGAGTAAAGAGCTATAGTGTTCCCTTAAGTTAATATTTTGAGATTGCAATGATTTTTAAGCATGATTGAGAACAATAAGAATATTTTACATCCATAAAACCCTTTCATAATTCAATATGTATTTAGCAAAAGGTTTATATTGACACAGTAGGAATCATTGGCCAGCACAATGTTTGTTTTTTTGGGGGTATATTTAACCATTTCCCATCAGTCAATGCATAATAAATGTATTTAATTTTATCTTAAAAGAGGAAACTCATAACAGCAATATTTTTTAAAAAGATATTTTTAAGTCAACTCAATTAGTATAATCTGTTCTCAGAGTCTAGAACATTCTGCCTTGGTGGACAGAACTAAATACTTTGTGCTCTGCTTTAATCAAATCTGCATGCAACCAAAATAATTTATCTTTTTATCTTATAGAGCAAGTTGGTGATTTGAGTCTCACTTGTGGAGAAATTGTTTATCTTCTGGAAAAAATAGATACAGATTGGTACAGAGGGAAATGTAGAAACCAGACTGGGTTATTTCCTGCCAACCATGTCAAAGTAATTGTAAGTGGGTCATGATTGTTTTAATTGGTCATATGTTCAGTGGGTTCTATGTAACGTGCAGTTTGGGGAAAGTAATCGGAAGCTTAGATTCTTGGGTTCTAGTTCTCTTCCATTGATTCAATTGGTGTTTGGAAATTCAAAAAATAAAAGTTTTTTCAACTAGATAATGCTTAATTGTTAATATGTCATAGGATTCTAGAGCTTAATTTCTAAATGCTATCTGAAATCCTAAGGTGAAAAAGCATTATAGGTCATCTGGTGAATCAGCTATTCTTGAAGGATTGATGATAAGCACTTAAGAATATATGTTGCTGAAACCAGTTTGGCTCAGTGGTAGAGTGTCGGTCTGCGGACTGAAAGGTCCCAGGTTTGATTCCGGTCACGGGCATGTACATTGGTTGCGGGCACATCCCCGATAGGGGGTGTGCAAGAGGCAGGTGGTCGATGTTTCTCTCTCATCGACATTTCTCGCTCTCTATCCCTCTCTCCTCCTCTCTGTAAAAAATCAATAAAATATATTTTTAAAAAGGACATATGTTAATTATTTGAAAAATTTAGTAAACAAGACTCAAAAGGTACAAGATTGTTCTGAAGGAATAGCTAACAGTACCACTTTTCCTTTTCTTTGAAATGCATTTTGTTTTGGTTTCTTTCATTTTTTCATTCCATTTATTTCCATCATTTAGAAAAATAGACTTGGGAATACTAAAGCACTTTCATTGGAGGTAGTGAACCATTAATGGTTTTTCACATGGTAATTTCAAATTCGTTTGGGAAGAATTATATTAAATTGTCAGCATTTTATACTCCTTCACAGCCTAACTTGTAAAAGCAAACCTATATGGTCGAGCCCTATAAGTGCTAACTCTAAGCCCAGCTGACTGTGAAACATGGGGATAAAATATAAAAACTACCACTTCACTTTGTAACTAAAAGAAGAGTACAGATGACTCAGTCTCTGATATGACTTACTGATACTGGAAAATATCAATAAAACTAGCTTAAATAGTTGATCATTAACAGCTATGAAAGGGGTGGGGGGCAAATGACTTTCCATTGCATCTGAGACTTAAAAACACACAAATATAATAGAGAACCTGTGTTTTCCTAATATAAATGAGTTTGAGTCTCTTGGATTACAAAATGTAGCCTTTAGCCGAAACCAGTTTGGCTCAGTGGTAGAGCATCGGTCTGTGGACTGAAAGGTCCCAGGTTCGATTCCGGTCAGGGGCATGTACTTTAGTTGCGGGCACATCCCCAGTAGGGGGTGTGCAAGAGGCAGCTGGTCGATGTTTCTCTCTCATCGACGTTTCTAGCTCTCTATCTCTCTCCCTTCCTCTCTGTAAAAAATTAATAAAATATATATTTTTAAAAATGTAGCCTTTAAAAATTGTCCAGTATAAATATGCCCTGATTCTTTGGAAAAATCCAACCACATTCACCAAATTAATATTAAGATCAATGTTAGTTTTATCACCCTTCCTCATTTTTCTCCTCCCAATGTAACAGTACTTTAAAAAGCACAGTTACGTCACTAAAATAAATTATACTGAATATGCCACATTATTGGTTAAGTATTATTTCTAAGGCTGAAAGTTTAAAAAATTGTTTTGAAATTTTGAGTTTTTAGAATTCATTAAGAAGGACACTGATTTATTTATATAGATCTCAAAGACTGAATATACTATGGCCAAAAATTTTATAACAACTTAGCTTCACTGAGCCTTGTAAGTGAGATGTTATATAAAGTGCTTGCCACTTAGGAGTTGCGCACTGGGTACTAATTCCTTCCCTGTTCACATTGGTGGGAAACAGTATTCCAGAGTTATGAAAGTGGAGAGAATCCACAAGTTTGATTAAAAGGTTTTATTTTGGGGTCAGAAAGTATTGCAGAATTCTACCAACACTTAAGGCATGGTAGTGGCGTCAAATGCCCGATGCATAGCCTCCATCTTAAATCCTCCTCATCTAAAGTTTTCAACTTAGGGGATATGGGAGAGAGAAAACTCAGTCAGGGGTAGAATTATATTAATGTGCTTATTCTAGCAAATAAGAAATTGATTGGTTGGCTATTCAATGAAGGCTGCCTTACAAGTTATGTGTGTGTGTGTTTTTAGAACCCAATTCTGGATTTCTTACCTTTGGCACCTATGGTACCACTTAATCAGTTAAACACTTGTCAAAACTTGTTAATTTCTATCATGTATTTTCTAATTACCTAGCCTTCAATTCATCTTATTAAAATCTGAAAATAATACAATGGTTGCCTTGATTTGTCTTTACTAGATTGATGTTCCAGAAGGAGGAAATGGGAAAAGAGAATCAGTTTCATCTCACTGTGTTAATAAGTAAGTTTTATTTGTGTTCTTTTACACAAAATACAAAGGAGGTGACCAATCCTATATAATAAAAGCCTAACATTTAAATCAACCAAATGGTGGAAACAACCGGTCTCTATATGCGCATTGACCACTAGGGGCAGACATTCAACACAGGAGCTGCCCCCTGGTGGTCAATGTGCTCCCACAGTGACAGCAACACTCGGCTGACTGGGATAAGCCGCTCAGAGGGCAGGTCCACAGCCACTCTGCTGACCTGGATGTGCGGCACTCCCACAGCGGGCCAGTCCCTGCATGCCACGCCCCCCACCAGTGCATGGATCCCGTGCACCGGGCCTCTAGTTATACCATAATTACCAAGCTTAGACACTTCAGATATGTGAGTATTTATTCACAGTGTCTTTTGATTTATGAGGAAAACTATACTTGTTTAAAAGCTATAGTGGATTAACATGTTAATGAAAATTCAACGTGCTGGTACAAGCTGACCTAAGCAACTCCTCGTATCAATACAGGACATGTAGAGAGAACAAGGAGTCCAGCTTGCTATTTCCCACCGCCTGGCCTTGAACAGAGACAGTTTGTCATCCGGTGTAATGTATTTGGGCCATCTGGTATTTATCTACCAACACATTTTTAAAAGGTTCAAAATTCTTGTCATAGAAAGTATTTAACCTTATAGAAATATGAACCCTACAAAAACAGCTAGACATTTTGTATTTTTTGTTTTTAAGAGGAGCTAGAAGAGACTAAAAGAAGAGTTAAGTTGGAAGGGTCTTCTTTTATGTCTGAAGACCTTTTTCATAATATATCTTTTTATGCATCATTGTAACTATTTGTATGATTTTAAGACATCGCGACAGTGCAACTTTACGACCAAGTTAAATGAGCAAAATAATAGACTCGTTCACTACTTGCTGAAGACTGTAAACCTGGCTTTGAATATGTCAGACATACATAGATGCTCCCTGAGGGCTTTAGAAAATAAATGCAAAGGTTACCACAAATAAGAAAACTCCGGATGCCATAATAGTTGAATTCTACTTCAGGTTCAAATGTTCCTCCTATTTATAAGCTGCTCTTAATGTGTCAGCAGGTTGGATCTGAAGTGGGCTCTCACAGACCCTTGGTCCATTGACCTGACTTAAATCAGAATCTGATTGGATCCTGTACCAACCTTTTCTCTTCATGCATTTGCATCTCCTCAGCCTGTTGCTAGTGAAACTTCCTTTCTAACACCTCAAATGGAAGGTTTGGTATTAAATCATGCCTTCTAGGAACACAGTTTAATCTCTTATTTAAAGTCAGAATTGTCGATCATTTAATGATTGTTCTAATTCTCAGAAAGTAAGCCTTTTTAAAGGAGATACAAAAATCATTTTTAAACCAACAGTGTTAGGTAAAAGATAAAGTATTACAAGATAGTATGCTGAGTTTCTGTTTTATTCGAACCTTCTAGTTTTGAAGATCATTCATCTATGTATACAACTCGTAATTGATTCAACATTTATTGAGCATAGAGTCTGCCCAGCTGATGCCCATTGCATTCTGTCATGGAAGTTTGATGTCTTGCCCAGTGTATTTATAACTGAAAGGGCTCAGACTGAGCCATGAATTACTGTGGTCCAAGAATACAGAGATGTAGAGACTGGTCATGAGACATGGCAGTGCAAACTGACCACCAGCTTATGGAACTCTGCATGTTTCTGTGACATTGACTAGACTTCCTATGTGAACAGGTTCATATCTGAAAAAGTTTTTCATGGACTAGTTTATGTCTAGTATATCGTGTTTCATAGTAAACACAATATTTATTGAAAGACTGAATGAAGGTTTTAAAGCATTTTGAAAAATAGTGCTCTCTAGTTTAACCAACAAATGTAATCTTTGTTCAGGGGTCCAAGATGTGGTGCTCAGTTTGAATATATTGGAGACCAGAAGGATGTGCTAAGTTTCTTGGAGGGAGAAAGTATTGTTCCTAATGAGCATGTGAATGAAGAATGGGCTGGAGGAGAACCCCGAGGCAGAACTAGGATTTCCCCCCTTAACCTTGTGGAACTCGTTGAGGATCATGCCGCCTCTGGTACAAATATTTTCAGTGAGTATAGAGAATATCATTTTATTATATTCTGTCTTAATTGAAATAAACTAAATAATAGGATAGTACTTGAGCTTCATAATAATCCATATTGCCATATTTTTTAAGATAGAATGAGAAATTATTTAAAAATAATCATTTGTGTGGGATAGCTCTTACTGAAGTAATCAGAGAGCTGGTATTGATATTTTAGGTAAATAGCAATAGCTTCATATCAGAAATGGCATATGAATAATCATAGGCCTTTAAACAGAAATGGGCTAGAGCGTATAACTAATGCATCTTTCTTCACTGAATGGAAAAGAGAAAAAGCCCAGAGAGGACAGTGTCTGGTCAGAATTACGAAGAGACTGGTCTGCAGTCCCAGACTTTTCACTCTCCCCTAAGGTTTCTTTCTAATACTATATAAACTTTACATCTGAAGTTTTGACTTTTTTTTTAACATAGGCACAAAGGTACCACTGAAGACAAAAAAAGAAGATTCTGGAGCAAATTCTCAGGTAGGCTGCTTGGATAGATAACTACCGTGTTTTCCCGAAAATAAGACATCCTCCGAAAATAAGACCTAGCGCAACTTTGGGAGAAAAAATTAATGTAAGACACTATCTTATTTTCGGGGAAACAGGGTACTAGCCCTGCCGGGTAAAGGTAGCTCAGCTGGTTGTTTCTTGAACTTAGGGCTCCCATCCTAATTTGGCAGAGATGCCTCTTCACAGAGCAGAACCTTCCTCTACTGTATTTGGGGTAAAAGCATTCTTGCTAGTACATTCCACCATACTAGCCCACCATATTTGGGTAGTTATTCTGCCAGCTTTCGGGCTAACTACGCCTCATGAAATTAGTAGTGAATTAATGAAATCCTGTGCCATGGAATCCGATAGCTTCTGAATTAAGTAAAGACCTAGGAACTAACAGTCTATTCATTCTAATCCTCCATAATTTAGAAGAGTTTCACTGGAAATTATATGCCTTCCAGAATTCTTTCATAGTGTTATAAATACTATACATGAATACTGTGTGCTTTTACCTAATTTTTAAGATATAACTAATGTCATAGATCATAATTAGAAAAAAGTTTTTCTTAAGTATTATATATCCTTCAAAAGCAGGAAAGCCACAAATTTATCACAACTGTCATATTGAATTATATTTTAAAGATAAAAACTTAATGGAAATTTTTATTTCTGAAACTAGATAGCAACATAAAGTGTTGGGCGATTTAAAGAAAGCTTCAGGCTTTGAAATCTTATGACCCCTTAGCTTTTTCCCCACTATTTTTTTAAGCTCTGTAGAAATAAATCTAGATATATAAAAACCTAAGTGAAGTTTAGACCAAACAATCAGAATGATTGGTTGACCAGTTGTTATGATGCACACTGACCACCAAGAGGCAGGTGCTCAACATGGGGCTCAGCCCTGAACCAGCAGTCGGACATCCTCCAATGGGATCATGGATTGTGAGAGGGAACAGGCCAGGCTGAGGGACCCCTCCTCTTCGTATACAAATCCATGCACCGGGCCTCTAGTTTCAAATAAAATCTTAGATTTCCTATAAAACCTCTGTTTTGTAACAGGATGACAGGCTTTCTGGAGAATGGTGTGAAGCACTTCACAATTTTACAGCGGAGACCAGTGATGACTTACCCTTCAAGAGGGGAGAACGGATTCTGATCCTCCAGCGGCTGGACTCCGACTGGTACAAGGGCAGACTGCGAGACAAGGAGGGGATCTTCCCAGCAGTCTTTGTGCGGCCCTGCCCAGGTACAATAACTCCGGGAAGTGGCTCTTCTCTTTAAGGGGATCCCAAAACCTTAAAATGATACATATTTCTTTTCCCTCTGGCCAAATCAGTTTAAGTTGTTTGCCTTCATTTTAAACAGTTAATTCATAAAGTCAGCTCTTCTTCATACCAGGTGTACTGGTTAATAATGTGGATTTTTTTCAATAGATGGAGTTACACATATGTTGACATATATGTGATTTGATATGTATGTTCTTTTGTTATTGACAGCAAGCTTCAAAACTTTCATTTATCAAATTTGCTGAAGGTGTTAAAAATATTGTATTTCTTGACAAAAAAAGCATTTGTGGGAAATTTTAATTCATTACTTTATTTGAAGAAAAGTGCTGCTGAAAGTTATCATATACTTTGGGAAGCTTATGGTGAACATGCTCCATCTCAAGATACTTGTGAATGCTGGTTTAAACGCTTTAAAAGTGGTGATTTCAATGTGAAAGACAAAGAATGTCCAGGTCAACTGAAAAAGTTTGAAGACCACTTTTTATTTTATTTTATTTTTTTATTATTACAAGCATTATTGGGTGAAGATGCATGTCAAACTCAAAAACAATGTGCAGAAAGATTAAATGTTGCTCAGCAAATAATTTCTGATCATTTACAAGCAATGGGAAAGATTTTAAAGGAAGGAAAGTGGGTGCCACATCAACTGAACAAAAGACAAATGGAAAACCAAAAATCATCAGCACAATGTTGCTTCAATTGCACAAAAGTCTTTTTTGCATCAAATTGTGACTAGATGAAAAGTGGATTTATTTTGAGAATCCCAAATCCACAAGATCATGGGTTGATCCAGGTCAACAATCAACACCGACTGCAAGGCCAAATCGCTTCGGTAAGAAGACAATGCTTTGCATTTGGTGGGATCAGGAAGGTGTGGTGTATTATGAGCTTCTAAAACCAGGTGAAACCATTAATACTGATCACTACCAACAACAAATAATCAATTTGAACCATGCTTTGATTGTGAAACCACCAGAAAGTGGCAGAAGACACGGTAAAGTAATTTTGCTTCATGATGATACACCATCACACACTTAAAAACCAGTTAAGGACATGTTAAAAGATCTTGCCTGGGAAGTATTAACCCACCCGCTGTATTCACCAGACCTTGCTCCTTCAGATTACCACTCGTTCCGATTGATGGCACTCGCACTTTCTGAGCAGCACTTCAAAACGTACGAAGAAGTGGAAAATTGGGTCTCTAAATGGTTTGCCTCAAAACAAGAAAAATTCTATTGGAACGGTATCTACAAATTACCCGAAAGATGGGGAAAATGTGTAGCTAGCGATGGATGTAACTTTGAATAAAGCACTTTTGATGTTTCTCTTGAAATTACTGTGTTTTCTTTGATTACAAAATCCACATTATTAACCAGTACACCTGGTACTTCATACTTTGTTCGAGTTATAGGGGAAAAAAGGTAAAAATGCCATCACTTGATAATGGCCAATTTTCTATACTTTTTTTTAGAAACATAAAAATATATTTCTATAATATATTTCTATGATTTTTTTTCCTGCTAAGAGAACATCCTTCATCTTTTTGCAAGTTAATTCAAAATTAATTGAAAATATTTTGTCCTGGGGATAACAAGGAGGTTTCTTAAAATGTCGGATTTGTGTTTTAGTATGTTCTGTATTTTGGTGTTTCCACAGCTGACATGAAAAGTATGTCTCCTTTGGCAGTGAAGGGGAGGAAGGCCAAAGCCTTGTATGATTTCCATGGGGACAATGAAGATGAGCTTTCCTTCAAGGTCAGAACGTGCATTTTTAGTTCCTGTATTAAGCAACTATAAATTTTGAAATATCTTCCACTGAAGGGTGGAACATCTGGGTGGCATATTGACCATTTGCCAAGAATGAACATCTCATGCCCTAAATCTAAGGAACAAGATTAGGCAAATATTAGCAAGGCATTTAGAAACTCAAATAAATTGGCTTGATAGCCCCACAATCACTAAATGAATTCCTTATTCATAGGCATTGTAACATTAGATTTTAGTAATACTGGAGTTTTCATTGGTAGCCCTAGTAAAGGATGATTCTCTACATGGCCATTGTTGCCTGCTGTTGTCATAACTATCAAATCAATGGGGAAGTCAGGTACCTGCTGCAATTGGCCACTGCACCAGGGCCTCATAAGACACTGAGTGAGGCTTGTCCAGAAAGACACGGGCCAGGAAATGATCCCAAAAAGTTAAGCTACATTGCCAAGGGTTCTTTTTTTGTTGTTGTTATTATTATTATTTTTTTTAATATATTTTATTGATTTTTCACAGAGAGGAAGAGAGAGGGATAGTTAGAAACATCAATGAGAGAGAATCATTGACCAGCTGCCTCTTGCACACCCCCTACTGGGGATGTGCCCGCAACCAAGGTACATGCCCTTGCCCGGAATCGAACCCGGGACCTTTCAGTCTGCAGACTGACGCTCTATCCACTGAGCCAACCGGTCCTGGCTGTTGTTTTTTTAGAAAATTACAATTTAATCTTACTTCATCAAAGAAGTGCCTCTTTTTTTTTCTTTTCTTTTTTTAAGTAAAAACAAAATATTTTCATGCTCCTGTTTCCCTAGTCTATAGTTGGACCATAGTCAGAGGAAAGCCACCTTGTTAATACTCTGTGACTGTGCCAGAGGAAGAGGGGTAAAGTTAGTAGTCATTGCTCTCAGAAGAGTCTGTGTCAGCGGCAAATTTTCCATCACTGGAGATATTTAGAGAGCTAAAATGCCACAGAAAGAATGAAAGCACCAAGGAGTGATTGGACAAGATGTGTTTTAAAAGAATGCATACCCAAACAAGATTTTCACCTGTTTATAACAAAATGAGGAAAATTCTGTGATACTGGGTATGTGCAGGCTTTTGGGGAGTCAGGATAAAAGGAGTATGCTGTGATATGTCAGTTATAAGGATGTTAACTTTCCTATTTTGTAATGAGGTGTTCCTTCTGAGAACTTCTTTTATCTTTTTCATATTAAAATGTCATTTCTATGATAAAATATTGTTAGTAAATGATAGATATTTCTTATGCAAAATTATGATTTGGTAACCCTCTATCTATGTATCTATTTATTTATTCATTCCTAAAATTTCTTGGTTCTTAAAATCCAAATGTTTGGAAGCCAAGTTCTGTTGCCCCAGTTGCTAAAAATTCATTCCTTTTATCTGTACATAGAATGTTCCTTCAAGTAAACAATCTAGATTCACATTTTTTGGATGTTATTTTGGCATTCATTTACGTTAGGGCATATTAATAACAATTCACAGTATCTTTCAGCAGGTAGGTGGTCACTCTGGCCAGTGTTTCCAGGTGGTTAGAGCGTCAGCCCACATACCAAAGGACACGGGTTCTATTCCAGTCAAGGACGCATATCTGGGTTGCAGGGTCATCTCCAGCCCTGGTCAGGGCGCCTGTGGGAGGGACCCAATCCATGTGTCTTTCACATTAATGTTTCTCTCTCTCCTTTCCTTCCCTCCCTCCACTCTCTCTAAAAATTAATAGAAAAATATGATTGGATGAGGATTAGCAGAAAGAAAGAAAGAAAGAAAGAAAGAAAGAAAGAAAGAAAGAAAGAAAGAAAGAAAGAAAGAAAGAAAGAAAGAAAGAAAATAGGTGGTCATTGTTTTACAATCTAAGCAAGATCGTTCTAGAGGTTTGAGTTAAGGGATTCTGCACTGCCTTCAGTATTGACCATTAATATTTTAATAAATATCCACAAAATATTTGTAAATAAAACTTTTTAAAAAATGTGCTAGCCCTCATAAAATTGACATACTATATATGTATATATGGAACAGAGCTAAGAAAAATAGTTTTAATCAGCCATTATGTTATAATTTAGGAACCAGAAGGAACTTCTTATTTTTTTAAATAGATTTTTATTGATTTTTTGAAGAGAGAGAGAGAGACGGTTAAAAATATCAATGAGAGAGAAACATCTATCAGCTGCCTCCTGCACACCCCCTACCGGGGATGTGCCCACAACCAAGGTACATGCCCCTGACCAGAATCTAACCCAGGACCCTTCAGTCCGCAGGCCGACGCTCTATCCACTGAGCCAAACCGGTTTTGGCATGGAAGGAACTTTTTATAATAGAGTCTTTGAGTAGTCAGAAGTTTTACAGATTTTAGCAGAGTAAAGTAAATTAATGACATTTGATAGTCGGAATTTTTCTTTCCATTTTCCTTAAAGAAAGGCCTTAAACCATTTTCCAGAGGGCTATGTACTAGGGCTACAAATAAATCCATTTAGCTTGATAATCTTTCAAGTAGCCAGGGTCATTTTGGACCATTATAGAATCTTAAATCAAGATTCTAAGAAATGGTTAGAAACAATAAAGAACAAAATAGTTTCAGGAGATAATTTCAAAAATTATGTCATCTGTTAAGGAGTTATAATTTACACATGAATAAGATACGCAGTCCCTTTGACTATGCTGATGAGAACAAATCAGTCTTCTGGGTCAGTGAAGCTCTTTAAGACAGGAAAGAATGTAAATTTGCTATTGAGGCCAGGGAGGGTGGAATGAACCAAATGGCAGAGAATACCATTATGTGGAAGAGTAAAATGTACAGTACAAAATGCTCAGGATATGGAAAAGAAGATAATTACAGTAAAAGCCTTTCTAAGTGAAGAGTCTACTGTAAAATGTGGTGGCCATATTGCCTGATAGTTAGCAATAAGGGCCCTGAAATAACACTAGATTTGAGTCATGTCCCTACCACTAACTAACTGGACATGGGACACTGAGCAAATTACTTAATCTCTCTGAGTTTAAATTCCCTTTTCTTTAAATTAAGGAAATCTATACAAATATCTCTCTAGGACTGCTCTATTGTGTATATGAATTAATCCTTATAAAGTACATAAAATGGGAAAAGACATACAGAGTAAGCACATGGCTCACTCATTTCCAAGTCTTTGCTTACATGTCACCTTCAATGGGACCTTCCCTGGCTGCTCTAATGAGATAGCAACCAACCCCACACTTTCTTTCTCTGCCAGCTTATTTGTCTCCTCACTCTAAAATAACAGTATCTGAAACATAGTGGATGCTGAATAAATAATTGTTAGATGGGGAGTGAGGGGTGTGTGTGTGTGCATATACATATATATGTATATATAATATTGTTAGTAAACACACCCAAATACATATATATGATAGCTGGTATTGTTATTTATTAAAGAAAAATTTAAATTAGGTATGAATTTAGGGGGCACAAAATACAGCAGAGAAATAAAAGGGCAACAATGGCAAAAGAGTGGCATCATTGGGTATAGATTACCTTTGTGGTATATCATTTAATCCTGTCAGCAAGTCAGAGAATACATCCCTCTCCAGATACTGCCTAGCATGCTTGTACTCAACATAAACTAATAATTATTTCCAATTCCTGTCTTCTTACAGGCTGGAGATACAATTACAGAGCTGGAATCTGTAGATGATGACTGGATGAGTGGAGAACTAATGGGAAAATCTGGAATATTTCCCAAAAACTATGTTCAGGTTTTACAAGTCGGCTAAAGGTGAAGCTTGACTGTGTCCCTTGGCACAAGAACTATCACTTCGACTATCAGATATGGTTTTTTTGCACTATTTTTTAAACTGAAAGAAATATCTATGCTGTAATGGTACACTAGAATTTTCTGAAAGCAAAAAATGTCTGGATTTCATCACAGTAGAAACGAACACATGAAAATCAATGAGCAAGTATTCTACCAAGGAAAACATCAGCAGGATGAGCAAGACAGTTAAACACTTCCCCCAGGGAAAGTGCCTGGTAACCTGGTAGCACAAGGGGACCTACACGCAAAAGCTGTGCTTCAACATCTATTTTCATCAGCAAAAGTCAATTAAACACGCTTCTTTTTTTCTTTTTTTTTACTTTAAAAAGAGGACATTCAATATTCTACATGCTGTAACCATCAAGTCATGGTTGGTAATCTAAATTTCATTTGTGATATTCAAATTAATTCTAACAGCTTGAGCACATTGTCCTATAATATTATCAGGGCAAATCCTTGCTTCAGGAGGGAGTAGTTTAACTAGTTGGAGCCTGTGTAAGGCTCCTGGTGAATCAGCTCATGCTCATCAAATGCTTCTGGTGTTAATAAGTATTTCCCCTTTGTCCAAGAATTTGAAGGGGGTTAAAATGTAAAGCATCTTAGTTAAATGAACCAAAACCATCCTGAGATGCCTTGCTAATATGACTAACCCTTCCACATACTTGCTGTACTTACTTCTTTTATCCTTTTATACTTTATACAGGGTTGTTATAAAGCACATTTTCTGAATCTGCAATCATTCTTTCGACAATTACTGGTACTCAAAGAAAAATTCATTTTCTTTGTGTTACCCCAGTAATATGTAAAAGCTGTGTCTTGTTATAGTGATACATTATGAATCACATTATCTCAAATACAGAGTAACTGTTAAGATGAAAAACAATGCCAAGCCCCACAACTCATTTCTTCCCAATATAATCAAATGAAAAATAATTTAAGAAAACTGAAGGCTGATACTTTTTTGTGGTTTTCCCCCTAGCTCATCCCTTCACAATTAGAATAAATAAATAAAAAAATTTAAAAAACACACTTTCCTGCTATATTCACTGTTATGCATGTCAGGCTTAAGATAAAAGCATTTCTTTATGTGACTGAATAAATTACATTTTATGGGCTAAAGCCAAATAGGTTAAAGACAATCGTCCAAACAGATCAGTGGAATAGAATTTCATTGGAAATGTGAAACACTTTCCCAACAATGTTCATGACTCTCTTCGATTTTTAAGAATTTCATATACTGGGCCACTTTTTAGCTTTTATTATTTCCCATTGTCCAAAAAGTTAGGCAGCTAATGGTCAAACATGAGATGGTATTCTAAGGGATGAGTTATTTACTTTGTCTTTGATTAAAAGTCATCTGCCAGTTATGTGGTTACAATTGATATGGGGGCTATTTCTTCTACATGTTTTGGGTAAAGAAGACAATATAAAGAAAACTTTTTTATTATGTCAAATTTTACTCAAGTAATTTCAAGAGAAATGGGACTTAAAGCATTATCCCAATTAATTCCTGTTTGCAGCCAGCTGTATAAGAAGTAGGCTATGTATCTGGAAAAGGACATGAGGTATACATATTTGCCTGTGTAATTTTAACATTTTACATTAAAAATCATGAAAACTTAGCTTTATTGGAGAAAAATATCCTCTTAAATTTTGGCAGTCAGCAGAATGATAAGTGCAATAGTTGTAAATCTACTTGACATTATAATAAACTGAACTTTTCAAAGTCCTTTTCTCAGACTAGATTATTTTTTGAGAATGGAAATGGTATCTTCTCTTTATGACTCCAGCCTTTTGCTCAATATAATATCAGTAAAGATTGGTTGTTTAGATCACATGTGTCAAACACAAGGCCCTCGGGCCAAATCCGTCCCGCCAGGCCTTGCAATGTGGCCCGCACCGCGCTGTCATCACTGCACTCCGCTGCGTTTCCATCACAATGACAGTTTATGACTGTTCAGTAAACCATTCGGCCCGCGATTTAGGCTGGATTTTAGATTTTGGCCCCTTCTCTGATTGAGTTCGACACCCCTAGTTTAGATGGATGGGGAACTTATATAGCAATACCATCTTGAATACCCTGAGATCTAATCTTTCCTCAATTTGTTGACAAAAATCTTTATTGAAACAAAAATTTGCAATTTTTATGTCATTTCACTTTGTCAAGCTACAATTTTTGCTTGTCATTTATTATTCACTCAAGTGACAAGACAAAATGTAGCTTGGAACAAGTTTTCATAGATACTTGCTTATTCTGCATATTGATCCAGCATAATTTCATAGGGGGAAAATGGGAATGTATTATTTTTCCTTTTGGGAATTTTAAGTGAAAAATTTGATATTGTTCATCCAAGCCTTCTATAAGTACAATCTCCAAATCCTTTTTTAAAAAAAATTTTTATTAAAACTATAGAACTCATTTAACGTATTATTCTTACCCTTTGATTACCTGTTGAAGCACAAAGACAGATTTCATTAAAAGATGCCCTTGCTTAACATAGCTGGAAGGGTAATATAATTTTTCATTATGTTCATGTAAATCACAGGCTTTGAATGCAATCTGAAACATTCCAAGTATCAGTGCAGTCATCATCATTAGAACTAGTATTTTTTTTTTAATTTTCTTTTTATATAGGGTTTTTATACATCAATATTCTTAATAATTACTTCATTTTTATTCAGTATCTTAGGCTTAGGTAAATATACCTAAAAAAAATACTGATGGCTATATGGGCATAGTATAATGAGATATTTGGTATAGTCATTAATGATATATTCCTTTTAATTAATGTCAGATGCATTTGGGCCATGCATATGACTTATAATTCACTGCCATTTTGAATGCCATTGAATGAACTCTTAATGGTGCATTTTTCCAGAATAGGAAATCATTTTCTAACCTATGCCTTTTTATTTCACAGTAATAATACAGGGGGGAAAAATACAAAGCCTATCTCAGAACAACAGCACCATCTAGGGGCCTCTCACCTAATGGCAAGTTCATCCAGTTACACACCACAAAGAGAGAGACTGCAGACTAGAGCTAGACCTGCAGAGGTTAAATGATTTGCCTAAGGCCATTCAGGTAATGACAGAACCTAAAGTAAAACTAAGCTCCACTGTTTACCAATTCAGTACTTTATCCATTTGTTGTGCTGAAGTGATACATTTCTCTTTAGTAGTTAAACAAATATAACTGATCTGTTTTATTGGCTGTACAACTTTTAACTTCTTAGATATAATAGGATTAGAACAAGTTACAATGAATAAATTAATGTCTTGAACTTCATTCAAGAATATTCCTGCTCAGGATGTGAGGGCGATCTGGCTGCGACATGTCACCCCATTGATCGCCAGGGTTGATTCGGCTGATCTGGCTGGCTAGGCGGGTGTCCCCCTCCTCCCTCACCGATCCATGCGCGTCCCTCCCGAAGCTGCGCGCTCGAAGAGGACGACTTTCCCCCAAGAGGAGAGGATCAGTCTCCGGTCAAGGGTATACGAGTAGCTGCGCTCCCCTGCTAGGACCTCCAAACAAGCTCTCAAGAATATTCCTGCTCAGCTTCTCAGTACTATGTAGACAGTTTATATTTACACAAGAGGTTTGGTACACTGAATCGTGCACCAATGGGGTCCCTCAGGCTGGCCTGAGCCTTCTCACAATCTGGGACCCCTAGGGGGGTGTTGGACTGCCGGTTTTGGCCCTGTGGGGATCAGGCAGAAACAGGCAGTCCGACATCCCCCAAGGGATGTAGTAGTATGTGAAGCAGCAGGCAGCTGTGGGGGAGCCCAAGCCCAGGCAGGGTGCCACACTGCTGCTCATCCTGGCCCCCGCTGTGCCTGACACCACATAGCTCAGTAGCACTACTGTGGAGAAGCAGGAAACAAAGGGAAAGCCACATTATTCCAATACCAGGAACCTCATTCTGATGTAAGGCTCTGCCAACCATTTTTACATGGATGAGGATTTTTCTAATCTGAATCTCCAAACGGAGATTTTTATTTTTAAAAAATATTTAGAGAGAGAAGAAATGTCAGAAATGAAAATCATTGATCAGCTGCCTCCTGTATATCCCCCACTGGGAATTGAGTCAGCAACCCAGGCATGTCTCCTGACTGGCAACCAATCATGACCTCCGGGTTCAAAAATCAACCCTCAACTACCGAGAAATACTGGCTGGGCAAGAAATCATGAGTGCCCACCTCAGCAGCATGTATATTACTTTTTAAAAGTCATTTTAAATACATGCCAAAATGTTTCTTCAAAATAATTGGGGAGGGGGTGTCAGGAAATGGGCCATTTGGACATTTTATCCAACTTAGCTTAAAAAGTCAGCCTGCCAGTTTCGCGGATGTTGGCAAGACACAAGACTAAAAAATGGCTTTATTACTCATTGCAAAAGCAGTAATCAGAGCTTCAAGCTCATTTGTTTCCCTTCCTCTCAAGTCCCACAGAAGTGATGCAAAGGGCCCATCACAGTGGGTTGCATTACAGAAGAGGTACACTATTAAGTGGAAACAAGTCTGCTCTTTTTCCAGAGGGAGACATTACCTCATCCCTCAAGGTTTCTCATGTGTATGCAAATACAACCCTGAGAAATAGCCCAGATAAAGAGCAATCAGAGAACTGTAGTCTTGGCATACCCAACAAGAGCATGCAAGGACACAGGATCTATAGCTGACTGCTACTCACAATTTACTCCTTTGCAGGACACATTCTTGGCCAAACTAGAATCCTATATAATAAAAGCCTAACATGCAGTCATTCAACCTGGAGTTTGACAATTTGATATGCACTGACCACCAGGGGGAAGCGCCAAACATGGCAGTCTGCAACGGGCTATGACCTCTTGCCAGCTACCTGGGGGCAGGGGTGATGGGGACAGGGGTGCAATGAGAGTACAGGGTGACTGCCAAGCTTGCTCACACTCTACTACTCTCTCCCAGGACACCAGGGCTTACACCCCAAGGGCCGGGAACCCATGAGGAGCCTGCCACGCACCATATCTTTTAGGTGAGCCAGGCTGCAGCCCCCCGGACAAGAGCCCACAAGGCTCGTGGGTTTGCACAGGAGCCAGTCTGCAAGGTTGGCCAGGAGAGCGCACTGCCCAGCCAGCTTCCTGGAGGCCCACCTGTAGATCTGGCTATGCTCAATGCCATTTCCGGGGTAGGGACTTGGGCACTATGACTCGGGGAGTTGGGAGGGGGAGAAGCCCCACCACCACCACACACACACCAGATGCTATGCTTCCATCACCGGCCAGGCCTAGGGACCACACCCATGAACAAATTTTATGCATCCGGCCTCTTAATTTTTACATATGCTCCCCCATCAGCCACTGATTAATCTAATGCGATTATAATTTCATAAAGCTATTCTATTAAGATTCAAAGTAACAGATATAGCCAATTTATAGCATTGACATCATTCTCGTCAGATTTCCAGACTGTAAGTCCAAGGAGATGGAGGAGCAGTAGGTCTTTAAGTTGCCCCTATATATTCTAAGCCCAGACTATTCATTACTAGCAAGTTTAAACAGATCTAATTCTTGTCAACAGAGGCAATAGATGGACTGCGACCCATTTTCTCCCACATAAAGGCACAAGTCACTTAACAGTTGAGTACTGGGGTAAGCCTAGGTCTGAGAATGAATTAGCAAAGGAGTAGCCAATAATGTGAGAAAAATTTAAGAGGTGAGATTTTGAAGGACAGTTATAAACTGGAGGTTATCAACTACCAAATAACACTTAATAGAGGTCAAGCCAAGTAAAATGAAAGACCAAGAATGAACAACTGGACTTAGCAACAAAGGCAGTGGTAATCTTGACAGCAAGAGAGGTGTGCAAGAGAACCCAATTGCAGCAGATTCAAGAAAAAAATAGATACAAAAAGCATGGTTAACTCTTGACTTTGCTGTAAGGGGATTGGTAGGAGGAATACGGACAAAGGTGAGAATTCCTGGAGCAATGAGCTTAATTAAGCAGGAGGAAGGAAAAATACGGGCGTTCAAATGGGATAGTGGTCCAAAAAATTCAGTAAGACAGAAAACGTGAACACATCTATAAATGGCAAGGTGAAAATTATGGGAATCATCTGAGTGCAAATAAGAGGTGAGGAAGGCTACAGTACAGACCGAGTGGTGTATTAACTATTGAATAGTGGACTACATGAAATGGTCACTTATTAATACATCTCTAACCAAGTTCAGCTCGTGCACAGTGGGGCATTTTAAAACTACAGGAGAGATAGCATTTGGGTTTAAAAACTAAAAGCCAATTGGCTCCATTAGTCAGCCTGTCACAGAGGTTCTCAAAGTGGTCCTGGGCATCAGCATTATACAAAAGCTTCAGGAGTCCAAGGACAGGGCCCTGCAATGGTTTAACAAGCTTTCCAGATGGTTTTAAAACCATCAAAACTTAATCCATATTAAGAAACGGTTTTCTTTTATTAGCCATCTCTAACACCTCCAGATAGCTACAGCTTAAAATAATCACTATCCTTTCTCAGCTACTTTGAGAAATAGATAAAATCCACAGAACAGCACAGAAAAGTTCACTATCAATTCAGAACATTAGTAACCAAGCTGTAAGATTATCTTTTTAAATAATCAGAAATAAAATATCACAAATAGGTTTTTTTATTTGTCACCATTGAATGTCTGAATTTTAAACAGATTCTTGGACTGGAGGCTCATATCCATCAGCTCGTTCAACTTTAGCACCTGTCTCATCCCCAGCAGCTTTTCCAGAACTGCTGCCTTCACCATGAAGCTCCATTAGTTTTCCCACTAAAAGGAAGAAAAAAATTGTTATAGCATACCATATCTTGAAACTGGTCCTTCAATATTTTCTAGACATTACAGGAAAAAAGCCATTATCTTGCCATCCAAAAAAACAAACACCAAAAATGCTATTTGGCCACATAACGTTTTCCAGGGATCCAGTGTTTTACTTACATTCAAACTTGGGCTTCTTCAGCATTTTGACTTTTCTAACAAAGACATCATGGAGCGGATAGATAGATTGGCAAGCCTTTTCTATGTCTTTTCCAATGCTGTCTGGAATCCTGTAAACCAGTAACAATAGATTAGAATCAACCCACTTGGAGCCTATCGCCCCTTAATTAATCCACATTTGAGCCTTATGCCTTTTTCATTATACCCTCTTAGCCAACTGCATGGGAACATCAGAAAAATGTTTAAGTTTTATCACTGAACATCATTTGGGACCGAAACATTTTGTCATCACTTATTCCCATACTTTCCTGGTTATGGAGGGTTTTGTCTATTCAGTGTATTTTCTAAGGCAAGCATTTCTGTGCTTTAAGGCTTACTAATTGCCATGAAGTAGCTTCATCCAAAAAAGGATAAAGAAACTAAATCACATTTACTGAGCACTTAGCATGCTTTCATTTCAAGGGATATAGCTAGATCGTTTTACAGACAGAAACACAGGTTTGATTCCACCTTATCCTATACCAGTATTGCTTTCCTTCATCTAAGATTAATCAGAGATTCAGGTATGTTTTATGTGATGAAAAAGAAACTTACAATTTATTGACCACTTCTTTCAAGTCATTTGTCTGCACCTCTCGGGTCATGATTTCCATCATTTTCTTCCGGATTTGTCGAACCTGCTGATGCTGAGCATAGGAAGTCTTCCGAATCTGATTGTTGCGTTTTTTAGTAAAACCAACACAGAAGAGACGAAGCAAATAACCATCGGTAGTCTTGACATCGACATGGGCTTCAATCATGGTCTAGTGAAAAAAAGATACGGTCAGATATACAGGTTTAATGTGATCAACTTCCATCCCTCGAAATCTTAAATAAAAAGCTGGAAGGTCAAGTATTCATCACACAGTATGAAGTATAAACCCCCCCTCCTCTTTCCTCTCTATCTGCACCATTACGGGCAACAGCACCCACCCCCACACTTTTTACAAACACATGACAGCCTTTAACATTCTTCCCCTCAACTCAATCAGCTGTACAACTCTGCAAAACAAGAGGAAAATAAGTTCTATGAGACTCTATAATATGGATATCTACACTTACTCCATCTTTTAGTAAAAAGTGTTCTGAATAAGTAAACTATTATTAACTCTAAATGAACATACTTTTAAATGTCCTGTTCCAAACTAAAACCATGCTGAGGATTAAATATTTAATTTCACTGCTGAAGTACAATTTAAAAATCCATTAGTAATATTACTGCCTAAATTTAAAAACCAAACCAAAAACTGAATCACCTCCTCCCCATTTTATAAATATGATACCTTTGTTTTAAAAAATATAATACAATGATAGCAAAAGGACCTTAAAATATTCCCAGAAATGCAGCCATATAACCTTAAAAACTGTCAAAAATAAATCATAATGGTATAATCAGTATGTATCATCTGAGACCAAACATTTTATCATCATTCATTCCCACATACAAAATATCCCCAAACTGGTTAGTCAGAGGCATCTGAATCAATTGCAATCATTCCCTATAATGATCATACTAACATTTATTAATTGCTTTGTGTGTCAAGCTCTATACTAAATGTGAAATTCATCCTAACTCCACGAGAAGACACTCTTACCCACATTTGAGAGATAAAGAAAGTAAGGCTTAGTGAGCTTTAAATTATTTGCCAAAGAACACAACTAGGAAATGGAGCCAAGATTTCAACTCCACACTAGAGGCTATGATACTCCTATTATACTATATTGCCAGAAGTAATCAAGACTAGCCCAAACCACCCTTTCACTCTAAAATCCACTACGTTTTGAGGTCCAAAGATATTCTGCAGACAGACAAAATTAAAAACCTGGAAATAATTTGTGCAGCAAAAAACTCCCACACTAATCCAATGTTATATCTTGAACTCAATTTAAATAAATTGGATGGTTTGCTCACTGCTGTTGCTCAAATTCGGGTGTCAAAGTCCAAAGCAAGCAAGAAAATATCAAGGTTTTAAAGTGAAATTTAAGCCTCAATTGTATGATATGCTCCTTGCTGTAAAGACAGCATGGCTCTGAGGAACTTTTGTTCTCACCTGCCACTTCTTGACCATAGAGCACATTTTGTCCCGGGTAAGATCCATGCCATGGAAATTAGTCAGGCAGTTTTTGCCCTGAACATCCTCAGTGATTAGCTTGAATTTCCTAAATGCAACTTCATCATTCTGCAGATCAGCCAGGCTCACTTCAAAAACACGACCCTTCAGACCATCAGATGCAATTTCTATAAAACAAGAATCAATTGTCTTAACTTTACCAACCACATAAGCAGTGAAGCCAATAAAGATAAGGCTCATGCATAAAATTAAGCTCAGAAACTTAATGGTAAATTATATACACACCTTAACTTTTGCTAACCAAATCCACATGGACACCCATGACTTATTGACAGGGCCCAGTGAAAGCTCAAAACTACCCATGCACACTTTCTCCAAAATTCTAAAATTTGCTTCTACAAGTATTGTCCCAAAAACAAGCACAACAGGGGCGAAAGCTGCAAAACAAGGGTTGTTGTTTCTTTATAAAGCCTCCCACCACAGGACCCATAGACCAATTTAAACAAAATCCAAACCAAGAATGAGATACTCACTGGTTCCTTGAGTTCTCGTAACCAGTGTTTTCCCAATATTTCTTATATTGAACATGGCTGGTGCTTTCACATCATACCAATCTTTCTTAGAAAATGGATCAACCCTGTATTTGGGGGAGAAAAAAACACCTCAAGTTTTATCGCAGATCACATAAGTCTTGACTTTTTTTTTTTTACTTTCCTTGTTCTAATGACTTTAAAAGGCTAACTAGCCCGTAAACACTGCAGTGCACGATTCTATCCCTCCCAGTGAGGCGAAGGGCACATGTCAATCGAGCTCTTCTTCCCAGTGTTGGTCTCTGAGCCACCAATGTACACACTTCCCACCCCTATAGATCCTGCCAACCACACGGGCAGCACTGCCCCCAAAACTCATGCAAGTCTCCTGAACTTCACTGATACAGGAAAACACCTATTGGCAATCCAGACTCTTTTCAAGAGCCCACCTGGGAGGGAGCCCAGGTTCCAATAAGAGAAGCGGTGGGGGTCCTGACCAAGAATGCCTTCCTCAACTCCGGCTCTAGGAATGGGACCCATTACCTGTGGAACTTACGCGGCCCGTGAGCCCACATACGGAACACGCCAGCCCCGAGGCATGGCGGCCACCCGGCTCAAAGGAGCGCGCACAGGCCCAGACGGCCGGGGGAAAGACAGCCGGCCCGCCGCGACGCAGCACCCAAACCTGCCAGGCCGCGGTGGGGAGTTTACCAACCCCGCACGGCCGGCTCAATCCGACCGGCATCTTCGCCATCCAGCCCACGCCGCGACTCAGATCCCTCCCGCCGACTCTAACAGAACCCCATAAAGTGGAGAGCCACGACAATCGCCACTCACACTTTCTTCTTGGCTCCCTTCTTGCCGCCTTTCGTAAGGCGCTTATTCTTGCCCACCGCCATGGTGCTGCTCAGAGAGCCAAAAGGGCGGAAGTACAACTCGCGCGAGAACTTAGGCGTAGAAGACGGGGCGGGGCACGCCGTCGACGTGACCTTTGACCTCGGCGTTTCTCGGGCCCCGGAAACATCGCGACAACGGCGGAAAGGCGCTCCCGCGACTGCAGCCGCAACAGCGCCCTCAGGTGTGGTGCAAACTGCTCGCTCGGAGGCTGCGCTCCAGCGGCGGGGCCGCGGCAGGCCGGGGTGCGGGCTTTGGGTTACGGCGGTTTTCGTAGCTCTGATGCCCGGGATTAAGTTTCCGTGGAAGTTGGCGTCCACTCAACATCGTTCAAAACTGAACTCTCCACTTCACCTTTAAACCTGTTTTTTCTCCAGAGCACTGGGATTTGGATGGGCAGATCCAGGCTCAAAAGCTGGTTTACAATACTTACTTAGCCTTGTGGCCTGGTATTGTAAATGGAGACAAGAGCCCTGACTGGGTGTTTCCGTTGGTTGGAGCATCGTCCCGTATACCAAAAGATTGCGGGTTCGGTTCCAGGTCAGTTAAAAAAAAAAAGAGAGAGAGAGAGAGAGAGAAAGGAATGATAAAATGAACATGGTAATATAATCTACCTCACGAGATGGTTAGTAGGGTTAAATGAGTATAACTTCAGAGGTACATATTGGTAGTGTCCTATTTGTTGATATGGGTGCTGGTGAGTGAGGAGTGGTAGCTTTGTGAGCATCCATCAAGCCGTACACCTATTTGTATACTTTTCCATACGTTTCTCATACATTGATACATAGTTTTTGGGGGGGTGGGGTTAGGGGGGGTGTTATTTTTTTAAGTGAATTTTGCTAAGTGGTTCCCTGAGGGACTATGGTTCCAGTGTGAAATCAAATTGTTCAATTTTCGCAACTAGTAAAAAAAATTGTTTTAATTGTAGGGGTTTAACAAATTCTATCCTGGCTGGAGGTGGCTGATTAGCTTCAAGTGTGCAGCCTCTGGAAAGCTGGCCCATGCAGGCCTGGATATGTTGAGTTTCCTTCTCTTACTTTTCTTCCTGCAAAACAAAACAAAACAAAAAAACCCTCTGACCAAACCACAAACATCCCCACTCAAAACACCCCACAAGCCTTTAAATCCTATAATCCCTTCCAGTACTTTTAGCCTCCATCCCTTACCTCCTACTACCCCACCTTTTAAATCTTCGGGAATCTCCAGCCCTATCCTAAAATCTTTCAATAATTCTGTTCATCTCATTTATTTACAAAATAGTGTCATCCTTATTTCACAACAATATGATTTATTTAAAAGGATTGACCTTTCGTGATGTTCACACACAAAAAAAGAATACAATATGAATGTTCTTAACCCTATTGAACTGTTCACTTAAATGCTTAAGATGGTAAATTTTATGTTAGGTGTGGTTTTTTTTGTTTTTTTTTTGTTTTTCTCACTACAATTAAAACGAAAAATATTAAAGTCCTTAGCCACGTTTACAAGCACGCCTTTATCCAGCCCTACTCACTATCCCTTTTCATCCTCACCACATCTTAGCCTTTACCAGGTACCCCAACACCAGGCATCTAGAACGATTTAAAAATTCCCTGAACAGCCGAGACCGGTTTGGCTCAATGGATAGAGCGTCAGCTTGGGGACTGAAAGGTCCCGGGTTCGATTCCGGTCAAGGGCATGTACCTTGGTTGCGGGCATATCCCCAGTAGGGAGTGTGCAAGAGGCAGCCAATCGATGACTCTCTCTCATCGATGTTTCTAACTCTGTATCTCTCTCCCTTCCTCTCTGTGCAAAATCAATAAAATATATATTTAAAAAAAAAAAAAAAAAATTCCCTGAACAAAATGGTTTTCTCTTGCCTTCATTCCTTTTCCTCATCAGCAGGCAATTACCTGTGCATTTTCAAGGCAGCTCAGCTTCAGTTTGTTCAGTGAGAGATGGATTCCCCCAGACAGCTCCCAGGAAACCTAGCACCGCTTACCTTCTTAGTAACTGCTGATTCCACTCGTCCCTCTCTCCCCGTGAGCACATAGTGGTCTTCTTCATGTTTGTGCTCCATCTCTTAGCTCATAATAGGCCCTCAGAATGTTTGTTGGATGAACACATAAGAGGTAGATGGTCCGAAACTGGTTTGGCTCAGTGGATAGAGTGTTGGCCTGTGGACTGAGAGGTCCCGAGTTCAGTTCCAGTCAAGGGCATGTACTCCCCCCTTAGGAAGTACGCAGGAGGCAGCTAATCGATGTTCCTAACTCTCCATTCCTCTCTGTAAAAAATCAATAAAATATATTTTTTTAAAAAAGAGATAGATGACATACGTGCTGATCCCAATTTTTGAACTTTATGAATCCATCCAGATTTTCAAAATAATTATGGGAACTAATAAGACTGCAATTTTTTAATTTCACCGCATTATAAAACAAAGAACAACTGCCATTTGTTTCTATCAGCATCATCTCATTCTAAAATTATTTAGACACCCGCCCCCCAAATAAAAGTAAAAAACAGATCCTCTGAAAGGTGGGCCCTTTTATTTTTTTCTGTGAACACCACAAAAAGTCAATCTTTTTAAATAAATCAGCTTTAACCCCCTGGCAATGGGCAAGGAGACACCTGATTGGTGGTGTTGGTCTTATATCAGTCAGGGGCAAAGCAGACGTACAGTCCTTAGTTCATTCTAGCTTGATGCCTGTGTCGGTGAGCAGAGCTGGTTCATGCCTGAGGCAATAAAAATAAATAAATAAATAAATCAATAAATAAATAAATAAATCAGCTTTATGAAAAATTCTGTAGACATTATTTTTGTCTAATTACAGACTGGTGAAAACTAGTGACCAGTAGAATTCAGTGAGTCCTTCTAAATATAATATTGAATCTAATAAACTCTGTAGTAATTTTATACTTTTAGTTACCTTGACTAAGTTCATTTTATAAGTGGCAGTT